ACATTCTTTTTTTCTTAGTAAGTCAGTCCCTGCATGCATATGGTTGGTGTCCAGTTGGGTCCGAGATTGCATTCATGAGTCTTGTCATTGCCATTATCTGACAGCGGAGGAAATTTACCATCATGTTGTCATTAACTCATGCGCCAGCACCATGGGGTCGAGTTTTTTGTTTTGCCATGGAGGGGGTGGGGGGAGGTTACTACTCAAGAGTTGAAGGTCTTCCATTCAGAATTGCATGTGATTTTGTTGGTGCTGTGCATTGGGGTTGAAAGGGACCTGCTGTCATTTACTGAATGAACATGTCAGGCTGCTGGTTAGTTGGTCTTTCCATCCACGAGTCTATCTGGTAAGAGAAATGCCCCAAATTGTCCCGGTGCTGCCATCTTCTCCAAGGGCTTTAAGGGTCAGCATGTATAAGGTCAAAGTTTTGGTAGTCTTGATACTTTAAGCCAAAGCTTCTTTGATATTGTCCCATCTATTTTTTTCTTTGGGTCTGTCAGTCGTTTTATTGGTCAAAGCAGCTGCTGCATTTTCTTTACTGTCAAATTGCATACCATCTCATTCATTTCATTTGCATATACTGGTGGTGGGGTAACCCACTTTTTTATTTAGGGCATTGAGTCTGCATCTCCATGTTTTACTTTTTCTGGGTTGTTTTTGCCGGTAGGTATTTTTGCACATCTGTAGTAGATCGTGCATCCATGAAAGCATGTAAGCTTCACTTCTCATGCTATTACAATACAGTTTTTTCCCCTCTTAAAAGGATCATGCTCTTGATCGTAGTATTAGTGTGTCTCTTTGTTTTTGGGTGAGGCATGATGTTGAAATGTCACAAACTTAGGTGTTAAAGAAAATGGGAAATAGAAGTGTTAAAATTATTTGTACTTTCTGAACTTCATTTATCATATCGAAGTCTGAAAATATAACGCGAACGTAGGAAAATTTTTACCAGATGCCATATATTTACCTTTACAAAAGGAAGGTTTTTTTGGAGGCAAATGTGAGAATATACAATAGCCAGCGGGAGATCTAAGTGGAAGTGTAGAACGACTCCCATGTGGGAAAAGAAATACTGACATCTTATGTAGTAGTCTTATTAGACAGTACCTCTATCTTGTTGAAATGGAAAGATCGAGTGTTAAATATGGTACACGCGATATATGTTAAGTTAATACTAGTAAATTAGTAATTAAGAGGGTCATTTGATTAAATTTTTCTTATCTACTCATGATGAAATGTATAGAAATTTTGAAAGATGTAGAAATTTGTGTAGAATTCAACAAAGACAAGTTTGGAAGAAAAAAGTTTATACCTTCAGTGTTTTCTCCAAAAATGTGCGTAAGATCTCCATGCTAGTTAAGGTGTGCGTGGAATAAACTGATAAGTTCTGATGCAATATGTATGCCTTCTCAGGAATATTCACGACTAACAGGCTATGTACATGAACTTTTAATTATTAATTAAACTCTAGTTGAATAATTTTGCTTCTGCGAGTGACAAAACATTTGTTGAAAACATATTGTACCAATAGCTATGACGCTGTGACACTAAAGAAGTGAAGATGGTGCAAGACAAAAAGAAAATAAGGTTTGGGTGAAGGGGAAAAATTAAAACTCTCCTTTTCATTTCATCTTTTTGAGCTGTTCCAAGTAGAAACTATTAGTTAGCCGATTCCAGAAGATAAGCAAAAGTAGGAAATGGAAAACTAGATATTGCAAGGAGAGAAACAAAAAAGGAACAGAAAATAACTTGTAAGCATGCCAAAGGAACAGCAGGTGCCATGTTCAACAGTAGCTTAGTGCTTCAACTGCTCCAAAATCTAAAGTGCGTACACTGATCCAGTGACTCCCCCCCCTCCCCCCCCCCCCCCCCCTCCCAAACCTAATTCCACTCGCTTGAATTCTCTAAAGTAGGTCAGACACTCTTGCAGTGACGTTTGCAGAGTTTTGTACGAGTCGATGTATGTCACTATTCAACTAGCACTTGAGATTGGACCCAAACTACTGTGTATTTTGCATTATTTTTCAAGCAATGCGACATTTATGTAATTCTTAAAAATATATCATATATAAAAATCAATAAAAAAGCTGGCGATCGAATGACACCACTTTGAAGCAATGTGTCCGCTACTAGCACTGTCTTCGAAGTATAGTACAGGAACGACCAGTTTCCTACGTTGTATGCTTTTACTGTCTGTTATAAAGCTTACTATGATTGATTAATGTGATTACTATGTTTAATTAGTACTGGCACTAATTAATGTTTGATGCAAACGCCAGTCGTTTTGGGTTCCCCGGCAACCTAGAATCATAGTGGTAAACGGGCTTATTCTCTAATAATTATACTCATTCTCCCAATTTAAGTTACACCATCATTACCGAAAGAGCAGCCCGATGCACTAAGCTTCCATTATGCGATGAGTCCGGGAAAGGACCGAACCACAAGGGTCTATTGTACGCAGCCTTACCCTGCATTTCTGCAATAGGCTATTTCCACCGCTTGAACCCATGACCTCCTGATCACATAACAACTTTACCAACTACGCCAAGTCTCCCTTCTTACACCATCATTACCAGCATTTGTTATTTCCCCGGCAACATCTGATTATTTTAACCTTTGTCTTAATGAATGATTAACAGACTTAAGTGAAAAATTAGTTTTAATACTCCCTCTTTTTGTTCTGTGTTTCTTTGTCTTGTCTACCTTTTGGGCAGTGCCCTCCACTTCACTTTATGGCTTTTACCAAATTTCAACTCTCTTAAACAGACTAAGAAATAAAAAGGGGTTTACATTCATTTCATTTGTAGGCCAATGTCCATTTCTTGTCTCCCCCTTAATTGATTTCCCAAAGTGACGAAAGCCGAAATATGAGGGTTAAAGGCACTATCACAATTAGATGATATTTGGTACCACGGAGAGGTCAATTTTGGGAAAAGTGGTCTTTAGGAAAGTACCTTTTTGGCCATTGAGGATAGGAAAAATCAAACAGGATTGATGATGTTGTAAAAAGAAGTTGACTTTTCCTTGTGATGCAATGGCAGAGTAGAGCTACCCGATATTTCATCGGAAAATTATACTGTATACATAAAATAAAAATAACTTTTTTGTTTATATATAGATTATTGAATTCCTTTAACAAAGTGGTTCAACACTAATAGTAGGTTTGAATTTAGCATTCTTTTACTTTTTGAATTTTCTTGGTAAATTTCTGACTTCGGCATAACTCAGTATCTTTACGTAAATTTTTGAGATAAGTCATCAGTCCTTTCGTCCTTTCACTGAAAACAAATGTTGAAGCTCCCTATATGGCTCTGCTTCAATGATGAATAGTGCAAGAAGTAACATCCAAACAGCACTTTGGACGGTTTGATGGTCATTTTTGTACCCATAAGGGACATTAGGAAAAGATGGAAAAGCAATATGTGAGATGGACTGATACACAGCATAAGTTATTGGGCACAGACGCATTATAGAAAAGTAAGGAGAAAAGCAGATTGACTTCTCAAAACGCTGATGTAAACGCACAAATAAATTAGCTCAAAATGGCAAAACTTGAGCCATGCAATGCAAAGGCCAAATGCGTCCACATGCATATAGCTTCTATGTTTCTGTTTTTCTTTTTCTTGGATAACGGCAGTGTTTAGGTCAGCTTGTGTGCAGTTCTATTATTTTTCCAAATATCTGCTACCCCCACCAATACAAGCATCAGATAATTAGTGGGGATCTTAAAATTTCACTAAGGAATATCAAAATATAAAAAAGTAAACACCCGCAGAAGATAAGCAGATTATATATAAATAAAATAAAATTATCACCTAACAACACAGTGTAATTTTCAACTGAAGGTGGCTCCGCCATTGGTCCCTACCAAAAACATGCAAAATGTCGACTATTTCACTTACAACTTGGTTGTTATATATCATTTCATAAGGTATCGTATAGTATTTGTATTGTATCGTTTTGATGTATACAAAGTTTGGATAGATTGTTTGTATGCCGTCGTTTTATGAAGTCATGCACCAACAATATGAAGAATACACTTATAATATTATAAAGAAAAAGTAAGATACGAGGTAATATCATATTATTATTATTTAAAATGGTAAGGTAAAGGATAAAATGAGATTATTCAATAATAAAAAAAAAGGCAAGATGATAGAAAAAAATAAGGTAACGACGCAACCACACCACATCGGTTCTTCCATAAAGTGGAACTTTTCGCTGTTATGTAACAATGGATTTAAGGATAAAGGGCAGCCCGGTGCACTAAGCTCCTGTTATGCGCGGGGTCCGGAGAAGGGCCGGACCACAAGGGTCTATTTTACGTAACCTTACCCTGTGTTTCTGCAAGAGGTTGTTTCCACGACTCGAACACGTTACCTCCTGGTCACATGGCAGCGATACAATACGATACAATACAAGAGGCAACAACTATCCAAACAAGTTGTGAGTACATGCATCCTACTAGCACAAGCATCTGATAACTTCACCTACCAAGATTTAGGCATATCTTGACTATTCTAATGGCTACATACTATTTTTCATTAGCACATACACCAAATAATTCTATCTATCAAGACTTATACAGATTAAGAAAAATGACATAACATTTTGGTTTTACTAGAATTTGAATCATAATATGTCATAACTTTTACCCATTTTTCACCCGATATCCGTTACCCGTATTGGAGCCCGACTATATCCGGATTCGCGTTGGGTAGGACCCCATTCGGGAGGAACCGCTCCCTACCAGTCCATACGCGTAGCTCGAACCTAAGACCTCTGGTTAAGGGAAGAGCATTCACATCCACTGCACTACATCCTTTGATGGTAACTTTTACCCATTTCATTAACCTATAGGTCACATGGCTTGCATTACTATTGTTTCTATGTTGATGTAACATCTTAGATATGTAGTATATTAGGTTTCATATTAGTGCAACTTTGACTTGCTGTTTGTGGCGTATGGGTATTGCAACTCATCATTATTGTATAGCCAATGGGTGGAATATACACCATCACCACAGTCTCTTCAAGTCACAATAAAAGGGGTTCACTTCTCCCCCTCCAATTCTCCTTCTCATCTAAACAATCAGAGCTCAACACTCAACTTGTTTATATTCTACTTTAGCTACTCAACTGATAGTAGAAATTGAATAGCTATGAGACCCATCAAAGTTTTTCTTCTACTTGTCTTTTTATATCTCATCTTTGTGTCATCAGGTAAGCTGCTTTGCTTAAAAAAATGACAATCAATTTTCCTCAAGGATATATTGTTTCCACTAAGAAAGGAAATAATGTATATTCTTGTTTTCCTTCGTTATTTAGGCACTGTTGAAGGCTTGGACAATGGCGTAAACCGCATTTACAAATTTCAAAAGGTAGAAATTAGAGGCAACTTTAATTTGTTTTGGCTTCTAGTTGTGCTTTGTACGACGGAAGTCATTTTTTTTTGTTTTTGGTTACAAGGAAAATACTTTTTTTTAAAAAATTAAATTAGCGAAAGTCATTTCCGTTACGGCTATCTTAACTTTTTAAGTTCATATTTGTTGCTCCAACCAACACTTAGAAATTATCATCCATTTTTAATACTCAAAAGTTTCATCAACACACTCATCAATTTGCTAATATTATTATTAATCATTGAATTAAGTAGAAGTATTATTTTTCAAAAATATTAATCACGTACCAACCAAACACCCCGGATATACTTTTCCGGAAAATATTTTTCATAGAAGATTGCTTCGATCATACTAAGTTGAAAAACTTTTATTTCTCACAACTTAATTATGTTTTTCCTTTGTCATATTAATGTATGTCAATATAACAAGAAAGTAGACCATTGCTTAGATTCATATCCTCTTTAACCTATATATTGTAGTAGAGTGCATATGTAGGCATGTAGAGTATACACAGAAATTTTCAGGAACAATCATTTTTACAGCTCAAAAAAGCCATTACTCTTTGCTAATTAGGCCATTTTTGCAAATTTTCTGCAGAATGGAGTCAGAGAAATACCAAGAAAGTTGATGATGCTAGATGCTGTGTTAGATTATGACTATGCAGGACCTAATCCGAGGCACGAACCCGGTCGAAAGAGAGGTGGCAATCACCCTTGAACAAAACTGTTCCAGTTACCTGCAGATGATAAATTGCTACTCTAGCTTATGGAGATTTTGATCAAAATATCAGTTCTTAGGAGAACTGATATAGCAGAGCTTCCAATGAATCACTATTCTATTCATATTATATATATGTAGTAGTAATATCTTTGCCCTGTGGGCATAATAAGAATTGCAATAGTCCCTTGAGATGTTGCTGAGTTTTGGCTAGTGCCTCTCTGTTATGTATTACTATGTTGTTTGAATTTCGAAAAAAGTTAAGAGTTGTGTTATAGAGAAATAAAGAAGGTGATTAGAATTATGTACCTGTTTTACATTTTTGAATACCATTTATTGTACAACTTACCTTATGAGCATATATTGATTAACCTGTTAATAAGTTGACAACATTAAGGTATGGGCGTTTCATATACAGTTCTCTTTGGGATGAGTCAGGCTCTGATACCATGGCGAGAAAATAGATCTTGAGCTTAACTCAATTTCAAAAGGTAGCTCAAGACGTAAGAACTGCCTAAGACCATATATAAAACGACCAATAGTACCCTTCCCAACTGATGTGGGAATTCAACATGGTTAAAATGCTTTTATCTAAACAGAATAAATCTCATACTTAAGTTCGAGTTTTCAAAACTCTTTGTTATCCCAATGAGTTCAGAAATCACACGTATCTTGGTGGCCTACCTCCCATATCCACTTAAGAGGAGGTGTTTTCGCAATAATAACACGTAAATCCAGGTAATTGATGAAAGAAATACTAAACAGGCCACATATTTGTAAAAAGAAACATTAAAAAACTCCATAGATAAATCAAATCGCACTCACTTCGAACCTACAAACTCTAAAGTATGGATTCGCTTCCATATATAGTGAAGTTTTACAACTCGAGTCTGAGCACCATACCGAATGGGAGCCTTGACGCAACTGGTAAAGTTGCTGTCATGTGACCAGGAAGCCACGGGTTCGAGCCGTAGAAACAGCCTCTTGCAGAAATGCAGGGTAAGGCTGCATACAATAGATCCTTGTGGTCCGCCCCTTCCCCGAACCCCGCACAACACATAGCGGGGCTTAATGCACCGGGCTTCCATATGTCTGAGCACCATACCAATCTTAACCTGTTGATTTTCTGGTGGTTAACACTTTAAGACCATTCAGATTATGTATTAAAGTTCTTACAGACCCTACTCGTTTCACTATTCACTTTACCAGTACCTACACAGTTAAATTGGATTTTTCCATATTCAGAGAATTTCTACAATGCTCCATCATTTAGTTACCTCGACTAGCAAATGTACAAGGTATAGCTGAAGCTTCTGTTCCTTTCATATATATAAATATATACAACTAACAAACATCAAACATCTAAGGGGAAATCATGGTTGTCAGCCATATCCCAAGTGACACAAAACTGATTGTGACTAAAGCTTGTCCTAGTTCAAACACAATATTTTGTTTCTGCACAGGTAAATTTCGCCAGTCCGTCCTCCTGTTCACATGTCAAAATAAATAGAGAAACAAAGTAAAACACTGTGATAGCACTAATTAATTAGAGAAAGTATAATAGCAAAAATCTTGTAAATGTAGACCACTAACTACTAACAGACTGGAAAAAGTCAAAGGTTCAATTCTGCCTAACGCAAAAATGAAAAAGAAGCTCAGCACTACAGGTTGTTATGCGTTAGTATTAACTCCAACTTGAGTCTATTGCTTATGACTTTTTCTTAATGGTTTTGTAATCACATCACTTGATGTCTTCATCAGAAACTTTTTTTGTATTTCCTCTGTGATTTATATTGACTTTCTAGTAGTTGATAATGATGATTAAAAGGAATTCTACAGCTAAATAAGTTTGACCATCACAGGTCGTGACCTTTTCTCAAGGGCAGAAAATATGTGACTTTCTCCATTTGCAAATTTCAGAAACTATTTCACTCACAAGTCACTTGCCGACACCTTAATTCTTCTCAAGTTTGGAACTTGAAAACTAAAATTAGCAGTAAAACTATGTAGGTTGGGAAGTTCAAGTGCATACCCCAAATCAGCAATGACAATGCTGACATTATCTTGTGTCCGTCGGTCCTGAAATGCAAAATCAAAAGTGCTAAGGAACTTTATACTTGTGTGTCCCTTTGGAGATCATAAACTAAGTCAAAATTAGCCGTGTCTAGTAGAATCTTGTTTATGGATGTGTTGTGCACCACACTTATAAGCAGGAGGCTACAGGGCATTTAGGACTGTCACTCTTTCTTCTTACTCTAGATTTTCTTACCAAGGCCGTCCGTGCAAGAGCTTCACAAGCAACCTGTTAGGAAAAGAGGAGGCAGGTTAGTTGTTGCCAACATTGCACCAAGCTTTTTTAGCCAGAGGATATATTCTTACCTGAACATCTCCATGGTCTCGAAGCTGGTTCCTAACAAAATCTACTACTTCAGCACTGAAAAGTAAGAAAAAAATCTAATGAGATTATCATCTTAGCTAGATTCAGACAAACAAAGAAAGATGTGAACTTTTGCTGTAGAATCTAATAATCCATCTTCAGACCTTTTCATGTAATCCCATAATCCATCAGATGCTAATAGTACGAATTCGGTATCTGATCCAAGAGCCACCTGTAAAACATCTGGAGATGCTGTAACCAAGTCTCCCTTGAACTGAATCCTAGCAAAGTAAAAAATAGCTTTTAATTTCAAGAAATCACAATAACGTACTCTTCCGTTTACTTAGTTGAGTTCCTCAATTCAAACTAGCCAGGAAAATATGCTTTAGAAAATTCACAATTATAGTCTCATAATCAGCAAATCTGACATATAGAATCAATCAATCGAATGAGCTAAGCATATTTTATTTTATTTTATTTCAAAGCACTTCTGTAAAGGCGTGTAGTGTTAACCATCTATGCTTTTCTTGATCCTAGTTTTTGTAGTTGATGCATAAAACTGTCTCAGTCACCCAATAGTGCGAGGACAATCACTAATTTCTGTTAATGAAGACATTAATGACAAAGTTTTGGTCATTAATATTTATGCACTCGTTGTCCATCAAATTTTATAAAATAAACAAGGTCGAGTCCAGTTTGTTAAACCAATTGACTGTAAAATCACTAAATTCTTGCAAACCTCTTCAAATTTCCTAGTTTTGATTATACAACATCGAGAATAGACAGCCTGCACTTCTCTGTGATGCATGTACTAGTGCAGCTTATCATCAGCAGGATTTGCAGCTCAATCAAAAACTGGAAATTACCGAGAAACAAACTTTTCAGTCCATCTACCTTCTTCCATCCCTTTCTTCAGCATCCTAGTCAGGAAAGCCCAAAATGATGAGCGCATTATTTTATTTTTTCAAGTATCAACCAAGAAATGCAATTGAATAAAGCGTATGCTTTTTACAAGTGCTCCTTATCAATTTAACAGAAAATCAGAAAGAACATACTCATTCTTCTTTGTCTTAAATCTCATATCACCAAAAGCACGGGATACTGAAATATCTCCACAAATTCTTCCATTGACAATCTGCAGCAAACACATCCAATGTCAACACTCACGCTGACTAATGTTTATCCTGAAAGCCGTAGTGGACTCCTAATTTGATCTTTCTTATATGTTTTCTTGGCTAGCCATTTACTTATTGCATTCATCACTATTGAGGTTTGGACTAGTAGTTCAAGAAACAATATTGAATAGAAGCAGATGAACAAAACAATGGACTAATCTTGGGGAGGCTGGGGGGAGGGAGTCAAGTGTAGGAAACACACACCCATCCACCTGCTTCATTGATTCTTCTGATTTCCTGGAGAGAAACCTTGTTGCTTCCATAGGGCCTGTGTGAATTTGTTAATATCTCCGTTTTTCCAGATCGTGACAACACCTGCATAAACATTCGATAGTAAAAAAACATGTTGCTCTCAAATAAGCATTTCATTGTCAGAAGGAATGAATATTCATGTACCACAGATGAATCTCCAACATGTGCGATGATCAATGTATCATTCCCAACAAATAGAACAGTAGCTGTTGAACCAGATTCATCTTCTTTCCCGCTACTCTCAAGCCTTTATCCAAAATGAAACAGCATCTAAACCTCCATTCAATCATATAGAATATGAAACAACATGGGTTCTATTTCTTTTCATTTACATGCTGAACTAGCTTACCAGTTCAAGAGTTTCCTATCCGCATTTTCAAAAGCTTCTTGTAGTGCCTTCCGGATTGAGTTTAAGTCCTTTTTTTTCAATAGCAGCCCACCTTGTAATGCTGTAATACATTCTTTATACAGCTCCTCCCTATCATTGGAATATGCATTATCTAACCATGCAGAACTTCCAACATAAATCTTGGTTTAAAAAGTAAAGCAAACAGGAGCTACATAAATCTCCTTACCAAGTAAAAGACACAATAAAGCAAAAGGAAAGTACTTAGCTTGTGTTGAATTGAAAGGAAAGTACTTAGCTTGTGTTGAATTGTGTAACGACCTCATGTAGAAGCGTAAGCTTTTAAAATGATTACACTTTTATTTACTTAATTATATCTTTAACACGCACCTCATGTGCTGGCCTGATTACTTTTTTTTTTAGGCTAAGCACGTGGAATTTCTTTTTAATAATGGGTGGCAATGAGATTTAAACACGGCCCCTTTGCCTGTTCTGGTACTATGTTGAATTGTATGACCATTTCATCTAAAAGTTTAAGATCCTAAAGCTGAAAGCTTTTATATGAGATGATCGCAATGTTCAACAACTTAAAGGGCAGCCTGGTGCACTAAACTCCCGCTATGCGCAGGTCCGGGGAAGGGCCGGCCCACAAGGGTCTATCTTACGCAGCCTTATCCTGTATTTTTGCAAGGGGTTGTTTTCACGGCTCGAACCCGTGACCTCCTTGTCATATGGCAGCAGCTTTACCAATTACGCCAAGGCTCCCCTTCAACAGCTTAAGGGCATATAAAGCAGGAACTAAGGAATTTTGATATACCTAAGAAACTTAACAGAGGAGAAGCCAGCATGGCCATCAAAAACAGCAGCATAAGTGAAGCCATCAAGATCATCAGATTGAACGATCACAGCATCATCTTCCATCTCTTCACGTGGCCCTTGGATCAGTGTTGAACCCCATCTAATACCAGAAACACTTGTCAAAGGAGCTGGTGCGTTGATTGCAATAGCAGAGCAACATCTTCCTCTACCCTCTCCACCTCTACCTCCTCCTCCAGCCTTTACTATTATGTTCTTTTTGTAGCCATAGTTACAGCAAAGTCTGTTTAAAAGAAGATTTTGCAAGTGGGGACTAGATAAGGCCATTGATGAATGATGGTATGGGGAGTCTTGGTTCAGACCAGACTGAAGTTAGTGTAGGATCTTCCCCAGTCAGCAGACATTTGCTTGGTTAAGGTTAACCAAGGATAAGAAGACTTGAAGGCAGAATCCAATAACTGATTTTAACGAATTATTGGCCACCAGTTGTTAGGTGCTTTCCTGGATTTTGGGCTCAACAGTTTCTTAAAATAAAGCCCATGGACTTTAATGGTTAAGGATGTTTATACTTTCCTCAACTTTTGTGCAACAAAAAGAAGACCAATGACCAGCATTGACATCGTAATTAGAAGGTCGTCTTATGATTTGCGTAATTGTGCCACCACATCATTTTAAAAGTTTAAGTAATTACTCTAAAAAAGAAGCACTTTTCTTTATGTATATTACGCCTTTTCAATGATGAACCAGCATTTTGTCTTAAAAAGGGAATTATCTAGTATGTGAATGAAAATGGACCTAAATAGAATGAAATGGATGTAAAATAAGCCTTGCTGGTGCATTTCTGTACTACCTTTTGCCACGAACAATTAAACACTAATTAAATACAGAAATAGATTGTGTTCTACCATTTAAAAGAGTTTTTTTTAGCTGCTAGGATTGTATTTCACCTCTCCTCATTTGACATTATACCCCAGATGAAAATGTATATAATGGCTGCCAACTAGAGATGCGCTATATGAATACAGAAAGTATAGCTAACTAATGATCTACAGTAGTTCGTCTTTCAAATATCCAGGGCCTGGCTTGAAGGGGTCGGATTCCATGTATGCCTCTGCTCGATAAACTCCAGCATCATTCATACGATTACTAAGCACATGAAGGATAGCCTTCTTTGCACCATATTCATCTCGGTTGTTCTCAACATACTGTTTGGCCTCTGCAGCAATCTCATTGACAAAATCAAACCGGTTGTCCTCATTCAGTAATAGTCTATGAATGTCCATTGTCAATAGCTTACCCCCATCCCTTATCTTCCTCACCTGCTCCTCAAGGAAAGGAATCCTTTCCATTTTGGCGTCTAATGTTTCATCCTTTTTCGTCTGAAACAAAAATTAGTATAAGTTAATATATTATCAAGCCCAACAATAGGCCATGAATGTAATGGATAATGAGTTAAAGCATGATTGAAAACAAACATTAGAGATAAAGACTAGTTTCTTTTCTCCTTTGCTCAGGTTTTGCTGCCCTTCCAACATCATATCTGGAAGAGAAATAAAGAAAGGCTAAAAGTTTTTAAATTCTAAACCTATAGAAGTATCTAGTTTTACAATTGACAAGTCAACCACTGTAGAATCATTTTCTCCAACAGAATAATCAGTATACCAGTCTCTGTAAGTATGCAATCTGGTTCCATGAATAAGCAAGAAATAACAAATAAAACTGGAAAGATAAGGAGAAGATTAGCATGGCCCCCTAAGCAAGGATGACATGCACACATCCAGAAATAACAAATAAAACTTAAACTATTTAGAATAACCTAGCTTTCACTCTTTAAAGGGGCCTCATATGAAAACCTAATAGCAGGTTACAGGGGCGGAAGGGGGTTCACCCGAACCCCCTTCGCCGAAAAATTACACTGTATATATAAGGCAAAATCTGTTTTTTACCTCTATATATTAACTTTTGAACCCCCTTAAGACAATCCAAAAGTGTAGTTTAGTGGTCCAGGGGGTTCAAAACCTTCTTAAGGTCATAGGTTCAATTCCCACTAGCTACAAAATTTTTTTTTTGGACCCCTTCGTGGAGATCCTGCCTCCGCCGCTGGCAGGTTAAAATGCGAGACAGAACCATTCACCAATGAATGGCTTCTAATAAATTAGATTACTGCTCAAAAATGATTTACTGATGGTAAAACATTTTGCCTTGGCATAACCGACAATATCAGAATATCCGAGTACAGACATGATCTACTGTAAAAAGAACCCACCCAGGACTTAGCTGCATACAAACAACGACCACTATCAAATCAGATGCCTTAACCTTGACATCTCCGGCCACATATACCTTGGATATGGTCCTCAGCCTAAATCAGTTGGACATACTCGGTATGACAAAACTCAGTCAGGATAACAGTATACTCTTCAAACTTGGTAATTCAGTATTATCTACTTGCAGGGTCCTAAACAAGATTAGCATGTAAATGCAATACAGTTAGATCATCATTTCTCCTGCCTTCAACTTCTAGAGGGTCAAGTATTGTGTCAGCATCAGGAGAGAAGTGATGTATTGACGCAAAAGATGTAACCCTGACATAGAAGACCTAATAGATTTCGGTATCTATCACTTTTCCTACAGTGGTTGCGGTTACATAAAGCCCAAGCAAAAACGAAAGATGCTTAGCTTGATATGCAAAATATAGTGGGCGAAAGGATCCAACTCAGATCAAACGTAGGTATATTCTCTCTTCTAAAGATGATACAATCAAGCTCAAGTAACAATACTAACAATTCATTAACTATCTAGCCAAGAAACTACTCGTGCAAATCAAGGCACCCAAAACAAAACAAAAAACAGAAAAAGAAAATATAAGTCCAAACTTTTAAATAAAAGGCAAAAATGAAGAAGATTATTCATCAGCATATAAGAATAGATCAAGCAAAGTCTAACATTTCTACCACAAAGCCAACTACAAACATTTGTTTATGTCTATGACTCTATAGTAAGCATGAATTGATGTAAGTAACCTGCTACAATGGGTCGAACTGAGTATAAAATTGATGGTGCATATAACTTAAATCCTTTCAACTATAGCCCATACAAGCACAATATTCCTAAAAATTTGCAAAAAGAGCCTCTTAGTGTTAGAAAATTCCTCTAACTCTAATAGAGCATACACAAAGATACATTTTTTAAACAAAAAGAAACATAACGAAATAAGCCGGAAAGAAAGAGCATGAATTAGGATTCTTCAGCTTACCAATTTTCTTCGCCTCCATATTCGCCTTCCTCCACGGCTTTCATTTTTAGAATTCGACGCGCTCTGTACATCAAGTTAAAAATAAATTAAAACCACCTGTGTGAAAAAAGTTACAACTGGAAGATAAAATCTGGAAGGCAACGAAGAATTCTCACCTGCGACCGAATGGAAAAGTTCATGCGTTTTGCACTTTCAACTGCTGCAATTTTCTGCATTAAGATAAATTATCATACTCCCTACGCACAAATAAAAAGCGTAGCCTTTGTAAACTTACGGCGACTCAAATTAGAAAGCGGCGAAGAAAACGGCGAATACAAAACAGAGTAAAATTAAGATGAGGATTTACGGGGAAAGTTTGTAGGGTTGAAAAGCCACTGAAAGTCAGGGTTGATGCTGCCATTGTTTTGCGCTCTTTGATTGAGCTCCTCCTCCCTCTGAACAAGGGGATAACGAAAAATCAATTGATATTTCTTGTATAGTACTCTTTTGCTTAATTTATTGTCAGTTGAACCCCTGATATTTGATAAATGTTCCACTTATGCCTCTGTTTTTCACAAAGTGATCAATTTGTTTTTTATATTGTTATCATTTTCACAATCTTATAAAAGGACTTCATCTATTTAAAGCTCAGGGTAATTTCTTAAGAGAAAACGACAAATACCATCTCTTATGTTTGGGGGGTGGATCTAAAAAATATACCCTTAAAACATCTTTGACCGTTTAAGTTTGTCAAAAGTGAATATTTCTTATTTTCGTTAAATATTAAACAAACTTATATTGCTAGATTTAAGGAGAACTGAAAAAAAAAACTTTAATAAGAACTCATATTTGGTGGCGTAATTTTCATAATTTTTCAAAACAGTTAGGACCCGTTTGTCCATAATAATTAAAACTTTCAAAAATGTTTTGTCCATGATATTTTATAAGTTTTTGAAAAAATTCAAAAATGAGTTTTTCAGAAAAGGAGAATAAAAGTGATTTTGTTATAAATACAATTATATTTGTGGTGAATGTCTATATTTAGAGAGATTCTAGGGTTCATTGCTTGGTGGCTAAGTCACTCTCTCCCTATAAATAGAGGGTTCTATTCTATTGTAATTCATCCCAAATCAATAAGAATTCTCTCCCTCTACTTTTCTCTACAATAGTGTTCTTCTTCTTTTATTATTTTATAACACGTTATCAGCACGAGACTCTAACCAATTGAGTAGAAGCTTTGGGATTGAGCATAATGATTGTCAATTGTTCCATGAACTTCCTTCATGATTAAATTCTGGACTTAAGGTAAGTATTTTACTTTTCTCTTTCAAATTCTTGAAATTCTATAATTTGATTTTATATACAAGCAAAGACAACAAAGTTTGATTATAACTCTAATGGAGTTTGTAAGAAATTATAACCACCTGAAGTGGTAAAATTTCTATGCCTCGCCATGATCAAATTCATGTGTGTTTGTGGGCAAAGAATTGAAAACCCGTCCCATTGAATTTGCTCCATTCTCATTCCCTTAAGAGAATGTGATAGCAGTATGTGATAAGTCTGAAAGAAGACAAAATTATTACCGTGAAGGTATCAATGGATGTGGACGTGGTAATAGACGAAATTATAATCGTCATCATTGTGGTAATGAGAACAATAAGGATTCTCAAAATAATCTTTCACTTTGTGAAAAATATTTGTCATCGATTTGACATGAGATTTTGTAAAGCACATATAGATAATTATGGTCCATTCATGATGTGAATGTGACAACATCTGATTTATGAATACATATTCATTCTTCAAAGAATATGAACGTGCTAGTGGTAGTGAATATACCGCATTCACCTCTAAAAGGAGGTTTGAGATGATATAAGAAAATAATGTCATTATTATGGCATGAATGGTCATTGGTCACGTACCTATTGTACGCCAAAATATTTTGGCATTGTGATTGTTAAAAGACAACGGTAATGCAAGAAACAGATCTTGCATATAATTTTGACCATAACCATAATGGTATAACTTTCTCTTTAAAAGAGATATTCACCATATGGATGTTGATGAATATGTGGTAGTACCAAATTAATTGAGAGCTCTGGAAGAGCCAATTATTACTATTTTGGAGAAACACAATTGATTACCAATAAGGTATTGTGTTGTAGTAAGTCTCAAAGAAACTTATTCAGTTTCCAAAGTATACGCGAAAGCGATTGATTATATTGAGACTATAAATAAAGGAAAGATTTAATATCTTCTATTACTACAACTTGTAGCGGGGTAATATGTATGTGAAAAGCTACCCGCTTTATTCTCCAATTTGTACTACACAAATAAAAGAATACCACAACAAAGTGGATGTTTATTGATATAAAAACCCATATCATAATAAACTTGGAGTTTATTGATAATTGCACACGTCATGGTGTAAATCTGAAGTTTATCAATATTGATAATTTATTTAGTTGGCATAATTGGTTTAGCCATATCAATTTAAGTATGATGTGCAAAAATAAAAGAGAATTCACATGGGTAAATATTAAAGAACTAGAAAGTTCTTTACGAATTCTCTTACATTGCTTGTTCTCATTAATTAATAGACCAATTAAAATTGGGATTGAATCCCATGAATGCTGGAAATATCAAAGGTGAATATGGGCCCATTCACCTGCCATGTATACCACATAAGATGCATCTATGAGATGGTTACATGTGCGATTATTAATAACCCGCAACATGGTGTTTTGCGAGGTAACTTGCTCAATAATTTAATTTTGAGCATAATTTCCAGATTTTCTATTCAAGAAGTTCATCTTGATAAGTTGGTTTACATCACAGTTGGTGTAGCAAAATAATTTATTAAGTGCCTCTACTTAATAGCTAAACTATCGCTTATGAGAACAAAGTTATCTATATCAGTTTGATATAGGTTATATACGAAAGTATATTACATTCTCCCCTCACAAGTGGTTCAGGGTCAGGAACCAAATAATTCTATCTTACTATTATTGATGTGCGGTGTATATTTTGATTAACACCACAAAGCACAAAGATGGGTTCTCAAAGTTGAGGAAACAAGTTAGTTTTTCTAACATGAGGGGGAGACAAGATACACAGTTGAGAAAAAGTTACGCGGAATGAATTATCATTTTTACATCTAGATCCTCGAATAAAATAATATGAACTTGAAGTTCATAAAAGGATAATTCATGTGCGATTTATTGCAAAGCATGCCAGACGCATTTGCTGACCCAAAGAAAGTAACTATATTCTCATTGCAAATGCTCCTATTTGAATAAGTCCTAGAAGGACAAAGTCTATAGTACGCTTAAAGCGTATAGACAAATCGGTTTCAAATAAACTTCTTGATAAAGAAGATGAGCAAATGATCATAGTAAAGGAGGCAAGTGATCTAGAAGATCACATGACATAACACTTTATAAAATCTCATGAGAGATTCAGGTACCTGAATATATGAATGAAGAGATCTCTATGTTATGTCATTATGAAAATATATTGAAACTGATATAAAATCTTTGTCGACGTCAACCTTCAAGAAGCTAGTGCACAAGATTGGGATGTGAAAGGCTCAAGGATGTGAATTGATGCTCTCATCAGGGGGAGTTAATGCGCGTTGAACTCTTTTTCCTTTACAAGCTTTTGTCCCACTGGGTTTTTCTTGCAAGGTTTTTAACGAGGCAACCAATAGGCGCATTTCTAAACATGTGTACTCTTTTTCCTTTTCTAGAATTTTTTTCCATTGGGTTTTCTTTTAGTTAAGGTTTTAACGAGGCACATTATCTGTTGAATAGACATTCAAGGGGGAGTGTTATAAATATAATTATATTTATGGTGAATGTCTATATTTAGAGAGATTCTAGGGTTCATTGCTTGGTGGCTAAGCCATCCTCTCCCTATAAATAGAGGGTTCTATTTTATTGTAATTCATCCCAAATCAATAAGAATTCTCTCCCTCTACTTTTCTCTACAATAGTGTTCTTCTTCTTTTATTATTTTATAACAGATTTTGATTACTTTTTCAAAATTTTCAGAAAATTTCTCTTTTCCCACTCAATGCTCACAAAGCTACAACATTTTTTCAAGTGAAATACATGTTCAAATATAATTTCTAATTTCAAATACTATTTTTTTTAACTTAACTCCAAATACTACAACAATAAAAAAATTATATTTTTTATGTCCAAACCTCTACTTACAAACAACGGGAAAAAATTCAAAGATGTTTTCACATCATTTGGATAGTTGCGTGGTCACTTTTGCACCAATTATTAATGAGTTGTCTTACCCAAAAACTATGACATAGTTGGATGTTGTTGATTTTGGTTTTTAAATTATGAGTTTGTTTAAGATAAATATATAGTCAGTGCTTTAAGAAGCTAATAAGTTCTGGTCCAATCATCTTGTCTGGTGATTTTTGTATATTAACGTCATCTATTTATGCTACTGATTAATGATCTTACAACTAACTCTTAACTGGAGTTCAGATATTTGAACAACCGTTTGTTTGATATTTGAGCATTTCTTTGGAAATTTTACATGTTATAGCTAAATAATGCACCTTATTTATTACAAATCAAAATACTTTAAAATAATTATGACGCATGGCTATACTTTGAGTTTTATAGCAAATACCTTCTCTACGTATTCAGAAAAAACCCTTAACTACACTAATGAAGGAAAAGCTGCGCAGCAGCAATCTCCAAAACTCGAGCAATTACAAGAAAATCCGGTGACAGCAACTCGATCGGAAAACCGAAACGGCAACATGACACCACTGCAAGCCACAGACTGAACCTCCGAATTTGACCTCGAACAAAACAGAAATCAAAGATCAACCGGAATCACTAACTCGGATTCGAATCACCCTCCATTTGCCGGATTCTATTTTTCTGACCAACTAGAGACTAAATAAACTGATTGGTGATACCTTGGTTGAATGATTTGATGGCGAAGTTTCTGATTGGGGATGCTGTAAATTAGGAAGAAGAGGGATGTTAATTTGCGATGGAGAAGAAGAACCAGCGAAGAAGAAAAGAAATATACTCTGTATGGGTTCCTGTATTCCGAAGGTTATTTTTTGTGGCAGATTTATGTATTTTTTTTATTTTTTTATTTTATTTTAATACAATCAAATTAAAAATAGTGAATTGAATATAGTATAAAATAAATTGAAAACAACCAAATATCACTGTTTTTGTGATTTTTTTATTGTTTGAATACAGTAAAATTGAATATAATGTAAAATAGCTAAGAATGAATATAACCGAATTGAATACAGTGTATACATCCGAATTGAATAGTGTGATATACACTCTATTTTTGATTTTTTGTTGTTTGAATACAACTAAATTCAATACAGTAAAATTAAATACAATATAAAATATATAAAAAAAATACATCCAAATTGAATACAGCGTATAAAACCGAATTGAATATAACGACATACATCACACGGCAA